TCTATCTGTTGATAATTTGATTTTTTTTTTCTCTATCTTAAAGTAAAATTTCAAGATCCAATGTTGCTATCATTATTATTATTATCACTACAATCAGTAAGTATTGTCGTAGCCTCCAATATATTGTAAATAATGGAGTTTTGCGTATGCCATAAATCCTTAAGATGGTCTTTATTGATTTTGCTCAATACTCAATAAAACTTGATATCGAGGGTCTAAATATATAGAAGCGTATACAACACTATTTTGCAAATATTGTTGCTCTCGAATTTTCATGTTTTCTAAAATTTCGTATAAAAAGGACTGTAAATTTTTATAAATCTAATAGGCATCTAATCCATATGTCATAAAAATCAAATAAACATAATTGTTTTTAAAGGAACTAATACACTAGTGAGGTCCTTTATTTGGCACCAATCATCTTCCGATAAAATGACTTCACATGCTCCTATAAATCATTACAAAAATCTTTCAAACTTAATAATCGTTCTAGCATCATACAAATTGAGGACCAACGTGTTGTGCAATATCATTTAAATTAAAATATTATTACACAATTCATTTTAAAAAATCAACGTATTTCTATAACATAGCATATTAAAAAATTTACATAATAAAATATTATTAACTACACTAATGATATCAATCTCTAAAATAAAATGGAAGTCCAGGAAGAAAATTGAAAGAAAAACTCGAAGATAAAATAAATGATTCCACAAAAAAAAGTTAATAAAGTTTTAAAAAATTTATATTATTTTTAAAATATTTTTATTTTTAAAAATTTTTATGACACCTAAGAACCCTTGAACCCTTCACTTTTAAAAGGGTTCCGGGTCCGGGTTCAGCCAAAATACGAGGGTTCAGGGTCCGAGTTCGGGTTTAGGTGAAAACTCGACTTTTTCTAACACTACTTATGAGTGGTGATAATTTAAGTTATTCTTTTTAATATATATAAAGGGAGTATACCATTATAATTAAAAACGTTTAATTAATCATGGTAATTTTTTTTATGAGGGTAGGTATAAGTTGAGAGGGGAGAAGGGTAGCTGTTAAAGAATATCTTGCCATGTAGACGCTGCATCAAACATATTCATCGAGGAATGAGCAGAGGATATGATTCGTTTAAATCATTTTCAAAAATGATAATATATGGTAGATTAATATTTGAAGGAAAGTACAATTTTAATGCTTCATACATTTCAAGAAATCGTGGGACACAAGGAATAAAGAACACCACCGTATTTTTGAGTGATAAAGTTGTTTATATCCAAGCTCAACCAATTCAAGTTTTTCAGTTCTTACAATATATATTAAAAAGTAATTGTAGACTTTCATAAAAAAAACCTCCAAATCTATTGATAGGTCATCAAGTGCAAGCTGAATTTCATTATGTAATATAAGGGCAGAATATCTCTGATAATGCAATTTTTTTCTTATTTTGCTAGTAATGAGTTCTCTTTAAACTATTTGCCAAACGGATTGTTAATGTCATAAATATGAATTGATACTAGGGCCCCGTTATTGCCCGAGGAGAATTTAGCCCCGGTAATCCCCGCAAAATCAGTCACCATTTGTTACTTACTACTATTTATGATTCACAGGCTTAACCACTGGCAGAAGGTTTGGCTAGTGAGGCACCCTAGTATAAATAAATATTATGATCGATTATTTGATATAACTATATAGTTTTTATGAAATAGGTATAACATTATTTTGTCGAATCATGGAATTTTCTTGGCTACCCGTAGATCTAGAACGGTAAAGGCCCATGCTGACCATTTTTATCATCGCTTATATCAACACTTTTGTATTTTCTAAGCTATTAATTAAAAAAAGGCTCTAAAAAGGTATGACCATAAGAATGGATATAAAATCTTATTTAAGCAATAAAAATAGCAGATGATATATCATTTTTAAGGAGCTTTAGAGAATAATCAGCATGAGGGAATTGTTAGGGATGACCAATTGCCAAGCTTCAAAGAGGCGAGATCTGTGAGAATAGATGTAGAACCTTATTTAAAAAATATATAGTACTTTGCATATTACCAACGGAATAGATATGATGCGATAGCTGACCTCGTGAGGGATATCAATCCGGCTATATTTGATAAGACGTTAAATCTGACGGCGGACGACACGGTAGATGGCTTCGATCCAAGGATCCCCAACTAGGAACAATAGCAGGGCCCCGAGGAACGGGCACCCCTCCCCCCGCAACCTCACTCTCATATTACATTATATTATATTAGTGCTGTAAATATTTCTAAAAAAATCTAACTTGTTCATGTTCACTTTCAAAAAAAAGGAGCGAGTTCACATTCGTTCAAAATTTTATGATAAATTTTTTTTTAAATTAAATAAATAAATGTCTTATATTTTTTAACACAATATATTAGCCATGTTAAAAAATAATATAGTTTTATTTTGATAATATAATTATAATACAATATAATATAGTGAATAAAAATATATTTTTATTTACAAAAAATTTTTCGTATTAATTTTTAATAATTGTTTTTCAAAATTTCCATCTGACGCTTGGCAGATACGGCATTAGCTAAACTAAAAACGCGCTCTACAGGGGCAGATATGAGGGGATTGCGGTATTATGCTTAATAAACAACTCTTTTAAAGTGGGGAATTTATTAAAAACTTGTTTTGTCCTTTGCTTCAAAAAATTGAGATAAGCTTCTCCAATCTTCCTCGTCAAAAAAAAAGGATATCTCGAAATTAAAAGTTCTTGCATTATCATTTCTAGAATTGTCAATGCATTTTTTCAATAATTCTATAAGTTTATTTTCTATAAGTTCGTTTTGTGGAAGTTTTATCATGGCCATTGAAGCTTTAATACTGGATGTATAATTGCAGAAAGAACATATTGATCTTCATATATATGTTCAAATCTTTAAAAAGATAAAATATATGTAATTAATTTGATAGTGATAGGTTTAATACCTTTTATTAATCCCATTTAATACTGCGTCTATCTATAGTTGACCATATTTTAGGCCACTAATTTTTTTTTAATTTTAAAATAACTATCGTTATTGTTAGGGTCAAATTTCCAAGTGCATTTTTCTTTAAATTTAATGATTTTACATAGTTAATAAATAATTAATATTACAACCAAATTTCGTTTTAAATTGGAACTTGAAGATTTTGAAACTAATATAATACATTTTGGACACATTTTACATTTAGTAAGTATTGAATTAGTTCCTTCAATATAGGATGTTACTGTAAATAATTATCATATTTGGGTTATAGTAAAATGTTAATTCATCTGATTTTGAATTTTCAGAATCAAATTATGATGAAATAATAATATCCATGCTTATGCTAATCTATTAAATTAAAATATAAACAATAATATTCAAATTAATAAGCTATAATAATGGCGTGTCAAAAAAATTGAAATGTGAAAAAAGGAAAACTGATTATAAAGTATAAAAAATTCAGATATTAAATTTTTCAAATAAATAAAAGTGAAAAGTGTTTTTAAAATTGAACGAACGCTAAATTAGAACGCGTTCGTCTTAAAAAAAGGAACGCGTTACGTTCAAAGTTCGTCAAAAAATAAAAGGAACGCCGTTCATAAATTTTTCAAAAAAACAAAAACATTATATTATATTTAATTATATATACTCGTCGTTTTTAAATAAAGACATAAAATATTTACTTTATGATAATTATACATTCTACCAATTAAATTAATTATTTTTAAAACATTGCGTAATAACCTTACCCTAAAATTTTCGAACTAACAATAGTAATGCGTTTATTGTCAGCAGGTAATCAGTATATACTATGTCAGACGCAAGTGTGAATCGTTTTATAATAATTTATATTTAGTTATAGATATGGGCCCCGCAAAATCCTAGATTAAACAGCTTTTGAACTAAGACATCCAATTTTGTTAAGTACTTGATGGCATCATTATTTTTCATATTTATTTTCTCGTTTTTTAAAATGTTTCTTTTGCTTTTTAGACCGTTTAGTAGATACTAAATAGGCGGCTGTTTAGTAATAAGTCGAACCAAGACATACCATTACAACTGTTTAGCCAACCTTAATGGCGATGATATTAAGATATTACCCATCAAAATATTAATAATCATGGGATAATCAATAATAATTTATCACGATTTCTCATAACCCTTTCCTTAAATAAATCCAAGCTAAGCTACATGTATATTTATAAAATAGTATATTGTTATGTAAAAAAATATTGTGAAAAACATTCATCGAAAACGTTTTGTTTGGGAATAGCCTAACTAGAAGTTATAAATAAAAAATGTTTTAAATCAAATTATTTTACTTTAGAAAAATCCATAGAATGAATTATACGTAAACATGTATTAACAGAAATAGAAATAACTGAATTTAGCATATTCCATTTCCATTCTGACCCATAATTAAATAATTTTTTTCAAACTCTCTCATTTTTGTTTATTTTGAAGATCCAGGATATTTGCCTCTATATTAACATTATTATACTTCCTATGATGTCTCTGACAGCAGAACGATTAATCTTTTAAGTTTTAGAAATTTGTCATCTAGATATTTCTTTTAAATTATGTTGAATTTCATCAGATGTTACTTTCCTGGAGACCATTAGAGTTGTATTATATTAAAAAATAGTTTTATTTAAAGGCGGAAATAAAAAGGCACATGATAAAATATTTTACAAAAACATGAAAAAGTTGATGGTGGCATTCATTTATGACGTGACGGCTTAGTAGTGGAGCATTTGATGCCCTAATATATTTTTTTAAAAGTTAGCAAATTACTTTCAGATTATCAAAATTTATTAATTTTACATTTGTATAACTAAGAAAATTTTATATTAGGTTATAAAAAAATACTGATAAATATAAATACATTTTTTGTATTTGAAAATTTAAGAATGAAATAATTGCCGTTGGTTGTATTTTGAATACAAATTCAATTTTTAATGGTAACCAATACAAATAAATTCTTTATTTAAAAAATGGAATGAAGAGTGATATAAAGATTAATATAAACTAGTTACAAAAGTACAAACATTATATCAATATTTAAAAAATGTGCAAAGATCAGTATACAATGATTAGATTTTGTCTGAAAAATGAAAATATATTAAAAAGTCTAATCTTATTATAAAATTAAAGTGGAATGTTTAATATATTCATTTTAACAAGTTCTTAACGTTATTGAAATGCGTAACATAAATTTTGTTTATCTAAATAAATAAGCGATTTTAACAATAAGATATATTTATTTAAAAAGAAAACTTATGACAATCTTCAATATCATTATAACTCTTAAGTGTTTTGCCTTTCAATGAAAAATAAACGTTTATATCTTTCCAATTTGATATCTTATTTTTATAATGTTTAAATAATGTGTCATCCGCAGATAAAGATTTTATTATTGAGCTGTTGAAAAAATGATGGTCGCTGATATTTTTCGATATTCGAATATTATTCAAAGATGTATTATCATCAATCATTTGTGAGCCTCGTAATGATATATCGCAATTCAATACCACATTTTGATCACTATAAGTGCTGGACGTATCTGTTGGTGAATAATCATCCAAATTTGTCACTGGAAAAGAAAAATTATTGATTTCCGACGGAGTATATGATATTTTGGTAGGAATTATGTCTTTTTCTATCGCATCTTCCTTATTTATTTCAGCAATTGGATTATGAGCGAGTGTTGGGACTTGATAATTTTGAGATTCTTTATATATACAATTAATATTATTTTAAAAGCATTTAATTATTTTTTATAATATTTTTCCTAGGTGAACACTCCAAAAAACTTATATTAAAATAAAAATTAATATTTTTTTCACCAATTAAATTTCAGTGCTTAGCTTTATCTATAAAAATAATTTAAATTAAACTGCTTTCCAAGCATAATTTTTAATAGGATGACCAAAAGAAGATCCGGGAGATAACAAAGGTAAATATTTAATCTAATTATATAGGGAAAGAAGCAAGTTAATATTAGTAAACTCTATACAAAAATTATATTTATAAATATAAAGACACCTTTATTTTGGTTGTCAAGGTGCAGTGAATATAAATTATTGTTGTTGTGATCTAGAATAAAGTGATTATAACTGGAGTCAGATTTTTCAATATCATGATTAGGTCTTGTTAAGTAATCGTGATGACCATATAACGATGTCGAAATTTTTATGGCCTTGCCAAAATTGCCTAAACACAAAAATGAAGATGAAAGTGGCAAATCATTCTCTGTAGGACTTATCCCTATTTCTAATTAATATAAAGAGAAAAAAATGCTCATTATTCTGTGGAAAAAAAGTAAAGTTGTATAGCTATATTATATTTCATAACATGTAGGAAAATAATTAATTTATATACTTTTTTTATGCAAAATATTTTTAATTGAGTATTTAACCTGACGCATCACTAAGTCTAATATTAATTGGGTTTTGTTCATATTCTATATCTGATAAAGGGCATAAAATAGTGTCAGCTATTGAGCTATCATGATTATAATTCTTTTCTTTTAGTAAACGAAAAAATTTTTTGATAGTGTTTTCATTTTCTTTGTAAGTGGCAATATCCATGTTTTTTAAATGCTTAGAGTTTTTTTTCAAGCATCCATCAGTATTTTTATTGAATGACGCGTTGCTAGGATAATGATTAGCACTGGTAGAATTTGAGACAGATTTTGCATGATTAAAATAAATTTTGAAGCAATTAGGAATGTATGGAGTTTTAAAAATTATTCTTTGATATTCCTTCATTATCTAAAAATTTGTTATAATAAATATACATTTTGATTTATAAATTTACTTTTTCGTTAAAGAGGCAGTGAAACAAAAATATGAATAGCCCTTGGAATGAATTTAGGATAGTAAAAATGTACGCGGCAAAAAGGGTTTCTTTATTAAGAAAAAATAGTCCAAAAATCCAAGTCAATCCCATAAGAAAGATTAATATCAAAGCGCCTTTAAACCACGTCCTTCGAAATAAAAAAATATTTTTATCATATTTTATTAATAGAAAAATTTGTAATCAATTCTATAATTAGCTCCAAATAAAACTGGCTATACCTTAAACTTAGGCTACCTCTATTAATGGCACCCTTTTATATCATGCAATACTCTATAGAATACGCAGCAAAGTTCATATCCAACTTGATTTTTGACGATATTGCTAATCCAAGCGATTGACTCAAACTCAATAATCGCTCTGAGGTATTCAATATCTCAGGAAACAATCACATTTATAAAAGATATAGAATTTGTATTTCTAGATTGTTACGGAATTTTAAGACAGACATTCTGCAATCTATACAAAAAAAAATTATTCTATTTTTGACGTTTTTCACATAAATTGCAGACTTAATATATATATATATGGGTGAGTACAAAAAGGAACAAAATTTCAGCCTCTCCTCTATAAAAACTCTCATCATACTACAGTGTTTGCAAGACAAAAGGATTATGTAATCCTGAAGAATTTTTATATATGTGCGATTGCCTCGATTAAATTTATTATAAAGATCCGCAAAATCAATTTTTGGAGGGTATTAGATGGAAGAAATCTTAAGCTCAAAATATTTATCTCTCAGTATCGATCAGTATCAATATGGATCGCTACTTTAAATTTTGACCGATACCAGTGGCCTCTATTTAAGAATGATAATTAACCGACATAAATACTTTAAAAAAATTTAGCCAACCGAAAAAAAGGAAGGATCTGTTAATATTTCCTATTTCCTTTAATTTAATTTTATGAATTCCAAAATAAATAAGAAATGATCATTAAATATACTATATTATTATTTTTGGTATCGGTATTCGGTATCGGCAAATACCTTTTAAGTATCGGTATCAACTAAAAAGATGGTATCAGCGCATCTCTGATATAAATATTGTGATTTGGATCATCTTTTTTGGTTCCCTATGTATTTTGAACATTTTACAATTATATTATATATATTTGAACATTCCCGGGAATTTTGAATTTCGATACTGACAACGTGCCCGACCTTTTTTGTTGCATCTGAGTGGACTCAGTGCCGAGGTATAAGGAAAAATAAGAACATATCTTTGAGACATTCGAAATCAGGGTATTGAGATGGAAAAAATGAGCTGTGGCTCCCATCAGAATAAACTAATTATAGCTACGACTGTTTAACCTTACTGAAAGGAAATACAAATTATACAGGTGGATTATAGAATTGGGCAATGGTTTTAAAAAAGAGATCAAGACATAACTAAAATATGAAGGGAAAAAATTGATAAAATGATGTGTTTGATTTGGATAGAATTCAGTGGGGTAGGATGTTAAAATGATTGGTCCCCTGATCTGATGATAACTAGACTATCTATAATAAATAAATACGATATGAATAATCAGAAAATGAGTGTTTTATAAAATAATATATAAAAAAAATTTACTTTATTATATTAAGCTTAGTTTTGTCAATGTGATTAGGCATTCTACTATAGTGTTGACCCATAATGTATAAAGCGATGCCCAAAAATATAAAGTTTGCCTTTTAAATAGTACATTATTTATATAGATAATAGAGTTTTCAATTAGTTATAACCTTTTTTAGTCATTAGTGCAGTGGCGTATCCAGGATTTTCTTATAGGGGGGGGGGGGGGGGGAAATAATTTTTGGGGGCTTCGCCCCCAACCCCTTTTAGCTGGCCTTCGGCCAGCTTTCCCCGGCCTTCGGCCGGGTCTTATTTAGCTATTCTATTAAATTATGAATAATTTAATAATAATTATATTTCTATTTTTAACTATTATTTACTAATTCGTGCTTATGGATAGGATATTACAAGCCTCTTTTTTATTATTTCAAGTTAGGTATATTATATTTAATAAAGTTTTTTTAAATGTAAAGGTTTTTTTAAATGTAAAGTTGAAATAAAGTGTAATGTCATTTTTTTTATAAAATTTGCTTTAAAAACTAGCCTCAGCTTAAATTCTCATACAATATAAGTAGAATATACTTTTTTTATTGATAAATACTAATAGTAGTTTAAAATATTGACTAGAAAATAATTAAATTAACAAGTTTTTTTAACTTCTTATCAAATACAAGATTTTTAATTATTTCGTTTGTCGTTGGAACCAAATCTCTGTGTATATTTAACAGAGCTAACCCATTTAGCCGAGATTCAGTACTTCGTAAATATGTTTTCAACCTTCTCAAGTTAGAAAAAGTCCTTTCATTCGTACATGTTGTAATAGGCAAACATGCAAGAATATAAAACAACTTCGAAATATTAGGAAATTGAGCCAAGGTTTCTTTACACCGATTGAGCGCATCAATAGCATGCTCAGGTAAAATAGCTAAACGTATAAATATTTGTACCACAATTCGAATTCACTGATTAAATTTATTTCAGTATCAATCTCATAGGAATAAAATTTTTCTAAATATTTAATTTTACCAATAGTGGCATTTGAAAATGAAGAAGGATCTTTGGGTAATAAAACTTGAAGATTGCTAAAGACTTGTTTTTTATCTAAAACCCGTACTTTTATTTGCGATAAAAAAGTATCTAAGAATGGGATGAAAATGGATATTTTATAATATTCTTCAGTTGAGCCAATATTTATCTTCATCTCAATAATGGCCTAGGTGCTAGACGAGGTTTAATTAGTATTATATCATAAAATTTAGCCTTCGATTCAACGTCTAGATAAATATTATGAAAATATTTATCTACATTCATTCTTATTGTATCTACCTGTTCATGTATATTTTCCGCCAAATCAATAACCTGAACCAAATCTAAATTTGGTTTTTGTAAATTTCTACAAAGTAGCTAAAAATAATTTATTGATGCAACTAGCAGCAATGATAAACTCTGATTGATCAATTGAATTCAATAATGATATCGCTGCTAACGACACATTACTTTTTTTCATGCTCAGCCTTATTTATAAATTATCGTTTGATTTCAATCTCTTTGACTAAATATTTTTCCATTTTATTAATATTTTTGAATAATATGTTGGAAAATTGATATTCAAATATTTGTAAAATTTTGATTGGTGGGGGGGGGGCTGGGGGGGGGGGGGGGGTAAAATTTTTATTAGCTTAAAATGATATTTATGAAAATACTCAAATTTGCGAGGGGGGGGGAAATTTCCCCCTTTCCCCCCCAATGGTTACGCGCCTGCATTAGTGATAGTGTTCTTTATCAGAGTCAGTGAATTTTTTCAAAAATATAGTATCTTTTATCCGGTTTACATTAAAAAATGACACTATTTTGAAAAAACTAATGAAGTTTTCAATTAGTTATAACCTTTTTTAGTCATTAGTGATAGTGTTCTTTATCAGAGTCAGTGAATTTTTTCAAAAATATAGTATCTTTTATCCGGTTTACATTAAAAAATGACACTATTTTGAAAAAACTAATGATTTCGAAAAAGGACACTATAAATATATATATATATATATATAATCTAGATCAAATAAATAAAATGCATAGGTATAAGATTATAGAGCCCCCCCCCCTCCCTCGACTTCTTTTTGGCGAGCCTTAAGACGACTTTTCCAACAATATAAATACTTTTTTAAATATTCTACTTTTTCCTTTTTATATATAATAATCTTTTAAATCATAATTATAAAGAATAAACTTTTATTTGTAATTCTGTTATTTATAAAATATTAGGTTGATTGTTTTTTTTATTAACGAAAGATAATATATTTGCGTATAGCAAACGGCTATAAAAATTAAGACTACTTTTTGATGTGGGTATTATAAATCGGGGATGGGCATAATTACTAAAATTTTAATTAATTGCTAATTACTAGAGCTGTCAACATTAATCAAAAAGTAACGTCGTGTTGCTACATTACGCGTTACTCTACAAATATAATAAAGTTGGTTATATTGATTTTTTTAAAGTATCGAGACTGTTACTATGAAAAAAGATTGAATAAATAGTTTTTCTTGCTCATATAAAATAAAGATTCATATTTCAAAAAAAAATCTCAAAATTTTTTTTTTAAATTATAATCAGAGATTTTAAAATCGTTTATCTGTCAGCACCGCTTTTGATGTAGTAATGACTCGTTCAGTAGGTACTGAGAATGGCAGGGGTCCATTATATTTTATAGATGGTGTATAATGCAAAATGTTAAGAATTTCTTTACAACGGATGTATTTTTTTTAAAAAAAATTTGCTGCTAATATCACAAAAAAGCGTTTTTTCTTGGCTTGTTGGAACAGTCATAGAACTATTTTACCCATAGATATCTTATTTTTATCAATCTTTCTTCAAAAAGAAACCAATTTTTACCATGATTCAAAAACAAGGTAAAATTATAAAATTTATATTTTATTTCTAATGTTATGTATATAATTATATAAAATTTATGCAAAATATATTCTATTATTTCTGTAATTCATTGTCAAAGGTGTTTAAATTAAATGTTTTTGAAAGAAAATAAATAGTATAAATATCCTAAAGAGGCATATTTTTTTGCAAAAAATTTTATGATATCATATTGTATAATATACTAATATTAACATTTAAATTAAATATATAAATATAATAGGATAATTAATTGTTATTACACATTTTTTGATGAATTTATTTAAATAAATCCTAGGTTTTTGATGTTTCAGTGGATTTAAAGCTTATATTGATACATAGAAGTCCAAAAGAATAAGATTTAAAAAAAGGTATACTGGCTGTAAGATGCCGTGAGATATTTGGTTATATTTTATAAAAATCTAAATTTTAAAGCTTCTCCTCAAATTCACAAGCCTTCAAAGTCCAATAAGGGAGCCATCTTGGTTTTAATAATCTCAAATTACCAGATAAATATTTCGTCCAAAGTCACAAATTACATATCATTTTATAGCCCATAAAATTCTTTAGAAAATATAAAAATTATTTTAAAAATATTTTCAGTTATGAAGTGTTTCCGGTAAAACCAAAAAAATTATCTATTTTGAAACGATGTTATAATTTTGCTAAAAAATTTTAAATAAAGTATATTATAAATTCAAGTTGAAACCATGAAATTCACCAGATATGCTTATTAACTAATGTACATAAATATTTAAATAAAAATATTAATCGAGAAAATAAGAATTTTAAATTTATTTAGTTTTTTATAATTTTATTTAAAAATTTAAATAAATATATTAATGACTATTTATTTCTATAAAATTACTTTATTACTTTTGTAACCCAATAGAAAAAAATATAGAAATTATTTTTAATGAGATTTATTTGTTCCTAAAATTATAATAGCTAAATAAAATTTAAGGCCGAGTCCTAGGTCAGCTTAATTTGGATACATAATTTAAAATATTTGATCGATGACATCCAATTTTGGTTTATTTTAAGTATTTGGCAGCATTGCTATTTTTCGTATTTTATTCTTGTTTTTTTTTCGTTTTTTAAAAATATTTTCTTTTGCTTTTTGGCATTTAGCCTATACTTAAAAGACGGTTATTAATTATTAAGCTGACCTAGGACACAACTTAAATTCTTATTTTTTCTCCATTAACATTTTATTTAAATATTTAAATAAATTGGTAATAAACCTATTTGATGAGTTTCATCGTTTTAGACGCCCTATTAATTTTTTTATTCCTAAAACATTTAAAATATTTGGTTTTAAATATCTGGCCCGGGTATTATTTTAAAAAAATTTTCCTAGGCCCAGCCCGGGTATTTAAAAATTTTTTTTTAGGTTCTGCCAGGGTATAGTTAAAATAATTAAATATGGCCCGGCCCGGGATCTCTGATATATATTAAAGATGCACTGATCCTGCGTATTGTGAAGGAATGACATGAGTGTAGTGTGATATAGTCCCATATCTAACAGAGATCTAGCATCCGAGCTGATTTAGTTTTAATAGAGAAGCGGTGAATTATTCTCTGGAATACTGACCCAATTGCCGTAGTATTACAGAATATACAAAATAACTTTATTTATATAAAAATGTTTTAAAATTTTTTTAATAAAAACTTGAGTATTTTGAGCGATCATTATGAGAAGATAATGTGCATGCTTAATTAATAAACCCATTATATGCGTTAAAATCTAAATTTCTCATAATACAATCAAATATTACAAGTTATTATAAAAATAATTTGTTTAATTAATAAGTAGGGAATGTTCTTATATATAAAGATTAGTGTTTCCTCTCTATGTTAGCTCTAACCCTAATCTTTGTGATATAGCCCTAAGCTAACCGCTAACGCAGTCCATGTGCATGGAATCAGGCTTTAGCCTGAACCGCGTAGTTCGGTAAAATTAACAGATACATATTAGCTCCTAAGTTTCAATTTTACCGAATATAGTGGGATTATTAATTAAACATGAACAGCTAAGTTCGGTAAAAATTAAAAGAAATTTATTGGCTAACAGCCCTGAGTATCTTTTAGATCTTACCGAAGGGTTTATTAATTAAACATGCTCATATCTTGCTCATAATAATCGCTCAAAATATTCAAGTTTTTATAAAAAAAATATTTAAAACATTTTTATAAAAATATACAAAAATTAAAAATATTATTATGTATTTTTTATAATATTTGGTCACACTACGTTTTGAATATAACCCCCTATTGCAATAGTCTGATGCCCTCATTGTTTTGCTTAAGGTTATCAAGCAAAAATATCATAGGCTGAATGAGGCGAGAAATAATATTAAAATTACGATTGAGTAATGATCTTGGTGGGTAAAACGTAAGGTTATAGGTGTATTAACTGGGTAATTCCATACCAAATCGATAACTTTTCGGCTCGACCTTTTTAATTTCGATAAAATTTTGTATACTGAGAGAATATCATTAGAAAGCATCGAATCCAAAATTTTAGCCTCATAGTACTCATAGTTCCTGAGATATCAATGGTCAAAAGTGCCAAAAATGACGTTTTTTCGAAAAATGCGATTTTTTAAAATTGAGATAAGTTAAAAAATAATGATTTTAAAAATATAAGTTATATGTCAATTTATAACTCTATTAAGGGCCTTTTATTGAATATTAAAAATTTTTTCAAAATAATATTATTGCGGTTTTTATTTAAGTTATAAATTTTAAATATGAAAACTCCAAGTGTTTCGCTTTCCAAATTTTTTTGAATTTAATATTTTCTTATTCTCTAACCTTATATCTATTCATAAAAAAAATTTAAACTTGGGACAGCCATGGGTTTTTTAGTTATTGCGATTTAAAAAATCAAAAAATAAATATTATTTTCAAAATAGATGGCGCTCCTTTATAAAATTACGCGTTTTGTTAAAATTATTATTTTTTTTAAACTTTTTTCCATTTTAAACATAAATAATAAGATTTTCCAGCATTAATATTATGAAAATATATTATTTAGATCATTTGATAGACTTACTTATTATTATTACTTTATTGATAACTTGTAAAAATTATTAGTTTTTAAAATAAATGATTAATTTCCTAAAAAGATAATTACAATTCCTATATAAGAAAATATAATTAATTTTTGAAAGATAATAGCAAGTTTTCATGCACCTGCCTTGATATTAATTAATTTTTATTTTACAAATATTTCAATATTAATTTTTTCTTAAAATTATTTATAATGTATAAATATAAATGTGCAAATCCTTTTAAAGAATCTAAACACTTTAATTGTAAAAAGAACCTGCGTAAAGTCACGACGTGGATGACACAATTTCCAAACATTGAGGCGGAACACTATATTTGTGATAAATTTCGTAAGCGTTTATCACAAAAAAATATTGAAAATATAAATTCTGATAGCGAATATGTAAATAATATCCCCACAGCATCAGCATCAATAGATACAATCAATTTAACCTTAAACGAAATTGGAATATCTCTTATTAAGAAAAAAAAACTAACTGAAAAAAATTATCCAAAAAAAAGATAGCAAAAATATCAAAAGCTCTTTCAGATATAATAATTAACAATCCAGAATCGGACACAAAAGACAATAATGATATACTCAACAATATGAAATTACATTATATTAATTTATCTAAAAATAAAAAATATCAATTGCTGACCATTCTGCCTCCTAATTGGAGTGCAAATAAAATAAAAACGGAATTCAACGCTACATATCATATGGCATATAATTCCAAAATCATTTTAGAAGAAAAGGGGATTCTTTCAACTCCAAATCGAAAGCCTGCAAAATATCTCAATCAAAAAACAGTTGATATTGTTAAAAGTTTTTTTTGCAGTGATGAAGTTAGCAGGGTATTACCAGGAAAAAAAGATTGCATATCTATCATTGAAAAGGGGGAACGAGTGAACGCTCAAAAAAGGCTAGTTTTTAATAATTTAAAAGAATTATATAATCATTTTTAAGAGAGTAATTCAAGCATAACAATTGTATTTTCGAAATTCGCAAGCTTAAGACCAAAAAATTTCATATTGGCAGGGGCTAGCGGAACACATAGTGTATGCGTTTGTAGCATACACGCTGTGAATTAGCAACAATGACTAAAAATGGTGAGGATATATTAACAACTTATAGAGATGTTATAGGCAGAATGATTTGCAACCCCCCATTACCAACCTGTTATTTTGGTGACTGTAGCGAGTGTCCTGGCTCGACACTCTTAAAAGAAGGCATTGAAAAATTATTTATAAAAAATGATATAGCTCTTATTACGTTTAAACAATTGGTTTCGGTAGATAGAACAACTCTGGAGACTATTTCTCAATCTTCAGACGAATTTATTAATTATTTTTTCAATAAAATGAATATTCTCATACGCCATTCATTTATTTGTGAACAACAAAGTTTATTTCACAATAACCTTAAAAATAGTTTAGAAAATAATCACTATCTAATTATTTGACACTTTTCAGAAAATTATTCCTTTATTGTCCAAGATGAAGTTCAGGGTTATCATTGGACAACTTCGCAAGCTACGCTGCATCCATTCTCAATTTATTATAAAATAGGCAATCTAATTAACAACCTAAGTTTTGTGGTAATATCGGAATCCTTAATTCATAATACTGTTTCATTCCATTTATTCCAATCGCATATGATTAATTTTTTTAAAAATAAATTCGACACTCCAACAGAAAAAATTTACTACTTTTCTGATGGTTCAGCAGCTCAATATAAAAATAGGAAAAACTTCATCAATGTTTGTTACCATGAAATCGATTTTGGTGTCCAAGCAGAATGGCATTTTTTTTCAACGGCACATGGTAAAAGTGCCTGCAACCGCATAGGCGGCACAGTAAAAAGGTTAGTTGTCAAGGCAAGCTTACAAAGACCTTATACTGATCAAATAATTACACCTTTATAATTTTATAAATATGCGGAAGAGTATATAAAAGGTATAAATTTTTCTTATGCTACCATACCAGAGTATGAGGAAGAAGAGATGAGGCTACTTGAGAGATTTAGCAAAGCTATCTCAATACCTGGGACACAAAAAATTCACGCAGTGTTTCCGATTGGTTAGAGATGAAATAAAAATTAATTTTCTTCATCCTAAAGGACCAGCAAATTCTTTTGTTTATCCAGCGGCACAAGATCTCCTTTACATACCAAAAAATAATATTTTAACAATAATTAACCCATCAACGGCTACTGGGCGTACATATAATCTATCGCAAAACGAAATTATCATGGCGTCAAAACAATTAAATTTAAGGAAAACCCGAAAATAAGTAATATCTTTCATGAATTTTTATTTATCTATTATATTTACAAATTAATAAAATAATTTTACGAAATTTAAAATTATTAATGCTGGAAAATCTTATTATTTATGTTTAAAATGGAAAAAAGTTTAAAAAAAATAATAATTTTAACAAAACGCGTAATTTTATAAAGGAGCGCCATCTATTTTTAAAAATAATATTTATTTTTTGATTTTTTAAATCGCAATAACTAAAAAACCCTTGGCTGTCCCAAGTTTAAATTTTTTTATGAATAGATATAAGGTTAGAGAATAAGAAAATATTAAATTCAAAAAAATTTGGAAAGCGAAACACTCGGAGTTTTAATGTTTAAAATTTATAACTTAAATAAAAACCGCAACAATATTATTTTGAAAAAATTTTTAAATATTCAATAAAAGGCCCTTAATAGAGTTATAAATTGACATATAACTTATATTTTTAAAATCATTATTTTTTAACTTATCTCAATTTTAAAAAATCGCATTTTTCGAAAAAACGTCATTTTTGGCACTTTTGACCATTGATATCTCAGGAACTATGAGTACTATGAGGCTAAAATTTTGGATTCGATGCTTTCTAATGATATTCTCTCAGTATACAAAATTTTATCGAAATTAAAAAGGTTGAGCCGAAAAGTTATCGATTTGGTATGGAATTATAGTTGAAAGCATGAAAATAATTACATGAGTTTGAGAGTTGGTTTATATTGTAGAGACAAATTTTACTTTCGGAGTTTAGCTATTTTTTGACTGTTAAAGATTTTTTACTTATATACCTAGAAATTTTGTTACAAAAGATGTAATAATAGGTAGATAAATTACCTTTCCATATATTAAGGTATTCAATATTGAAATGTATGGAAGTATAAATAGCTAATTTTTGTGACATTATTAACCTTAACTTTGAAATTTAGGCAATTGTTGGTGACTTTCGTTGCTAAATTTATTAATATATTCTTGTGTCTTAAGAGTAGGGCATGAAGTGATATTAATAGGACTAGGAATTGTAGATGTGGAAATGGTATTAATAATAAATTCAGGGAGGCAGTAGCCCTGTATAAATTGAATTTATTTTATAACGATTATTTTTGTTAATTATTTATGATCTTGAGGAATCATTAAATTTTTTTATAGGTGATATTCAATAAGATCATTTGTTATTTTAAAAAAAAACAATATTACCCAAATGATTTAGTTTTTAAATTTTTTAATAAGTAGTGGAGGAAGGAAATTAAAGGGAAAATTTTTTAAATAATCATTATTTTAATTGTTGTATTGGCTATGCATATAAGCAAATAATAAACCTTAAAGATTTATAAAATTTAGGTTGGAGTTAAAATATAAACCGTTACAAATAATTTCGTATTTAATTAACTATTAGTTGTACTTGTACCAAAACAAGGTAAAAAATTTAATTGTGTAACAAAATCAAAGCATTCTATACGTGTAAAAGTAAGTATATTATATATACTTACAACTAAAATCATAACAATTGGTCCGACAAAACTAAAAATGAAAAAATTTTGAACCGTTAACCAACAACTATAAATAAAATATAACTGATATATCTATTTAATTTAAGATACTATTTCTTTGTGCCATAGCCATGAGGATTTATAAACACTGAGATCAAAACTATAATAAAGGGAATACCTGTTAATAAAAAGTTTATAATTAAGTAAAAGTATAATTACCATATGCAATGATCACATAATATCTCGTTTTAGATTTTTCCGATTCAAAAACCTCCACCAACATTGTATATAGCTGAACTCCTTCTAAAAGCATCCACATAAATGCCGACAAGAAAAAATAATGCAAAAACCCAGCTATAATTGAGCACCCAATCTACAGTTAAAAATCACATCATTTTAATGAATTTATTCATCAAAGTATACTTTGTTGGATGTAGCTCTTATCCCAAATACAAATATGATTTCGGCAACCAACAGACAAACACATAAATGTTTGTGAATATTCATACGTTCATTTAAAATTTTTCTATAAAAGTGAGAAAATTATGTAAAAATGAATTAATATAGGAGAACAATAATTATAAATAAAGAAAAATTGGATTTACTTAAAATATTGAAATGTAACGATGCACATTAATAAGCACAATATTGATACAATACATCCAATTTGGGTTATTATCACTAACATGATTTCATGTTTTAATGGAACCTAAACCATTTACATGTAAATTATTAAAATAATATCAAAAACCTCTATTCCAACTATATCTAACAACACTGCAAAATTAGTCAAATGATCACAGGCACATTTTACATAAATCTTATTGTATTCTACAAGCCAACATCCTTTCGAAGACCAATTCCCTTGAAAATCGCTAAAAAATATGTGTATATATTACAAATATAGTTCAACTATCTATTTATAAAATTTTCCTAAAGGAGTAATCTAGAAAATTTCAATATAATTAACGAAAATTATTTAACTTGTTATTGTATTCGAGAAACATGCAATGGGGTTTGAATTGATAGGAGTTTATGGTATTAAAATTTGGATTAAATTTGTCATTGTAAAAAAAATTTGCGAGAGGAAATGTCATATACATGAGTGGTTTCGTAGCGTTATAGGCATTTGCCTGGGTGAGATGTTTTGGAAGTGATTTAATGATCGATATAATTTTTGAAGCCAACCGAGGTTGGTTAAAGTTAGAATTTGTTTCATATTGTGGTGTATTTTCATTCAAGATATTTATGATGTTACCATTTAAAAGGGTCAATGTAAAATATTCTAAATTATTTTATATTAAACAATTTGAATAAATAATTTCACCTTTTTGTGATCTATTTATAATGTGAAGGGCATTTTCTGTAAAACTTATACCTTCATTTATTTCATTGTGATATAATTTTGAAAAGGGCTGAAATGTTATATTTTTGAATACTCCGAGTTTTCGATCATATAACATGGTTTCATCTATGGTTTTCATGACTAATTATTACAAATTAATGTTGTATTTTGTAATATAGGTGTTAGTAATTTTTTAAGATATAATAAACCATATTTAAATTATGGTTTTGCACATTTGAATGTAGTTATATTTATCATATAGCAAAATTAAATTTCAAATTAATTTGAAATGTAATTTTAAAAACCAAAAAATGATCAACAACTACAAAAAAACGTTTAAAATTTATAAAAAAATTTCAACCTAAAAAAAATAAGTTTTCTTAATAAGTAGAAACCGAATAATGTCGTATGGAGTTTGTAAATCTATCAATTTAAATCCTTTACTGAAAGTGATTTTTCTATTTATAAAATCTGATTTTATGCGAAATAAATTCAAGCTTATGTAGAGTAGAGGTCTGCAATGAGCGGGAAATTTTTTTAGACAATAGCCGGGAGGGCGAGCAGGTTAAAATTTATTTATACATAATGGGCAGGCGGATAATTTTTCAAAGAATCAACGGAAGTTCGCGCGTATAAATTAAATTTTTTTCCATTTTCCAATTTTAATATACATCCATAAACAATGTTTTTTATATATTATATTATAAATGTTTTTGTCATCGTTTATCCGAAATATAAATGTACATGATAAACCATTCAAAAGTAAAAAAAAATTTATATTATTTATTTGTAATGTTATAAATGAACGCGTTCGAAGTTCGTTTTTTTTAAAAAAAAAATGTCAACAGCGTTCCTTTTATTTTTGACGAACTTTGAATGTGAATGCGATTTTTTTGACGAACTCGTTTTGTACGATGGGCGGGCGGGTAAAATTTTTTAAAACCAATGGAGCGGGGTTATATTTTTTCAAAACCATGGGTAGGTGGGCGAGCTAAAAAATTTATAACAACTAGTGGTCGGGTTTGTTGGTTAAAACCGTCCCATTGCAGACCTCTAATGTAGATTCCTATTTTATGAATTTCAGATATTGCCCTAAATGTATATATATTTTTCAATTAATATGACAAATCTATATATAAATTTACATTATTCTAAAAGTTTACGGCAAAATTCTAAAATTCATAAGGTAGATGCTCTACGCATACCGAATGCATTTCCAGTAAAAGCATATTTTCAAATTAAATAGCCCTTAGAAAATAATTAAAAATTTTACTATTTCCTATAAATTTCAAAATTCCATACGACATAATAATACAATAATAAAATAAAAAGCAGGCAATTATTATATGCTTATTTAAAAATATTTATATCATTAGGTATAAATGAGGTGATCAAAGCTCGGTACGGTCCTAATATGCCTTGCTGGGCGCGTCTTTCAAGCGCTTTAGCCAAAACCGGTCCAATCCTTAATTTTTTTAAAGAACAATAATTATTTTTAAGGCATATAAAATAAGAATATAGTTTCAGATCAAATAAATTCAAATTTATTTAAATCATCTTGATATATATATATAATTCAATTGATTTAATTATTATAATCTAAATTTTAAGACAAATTTAATGATAGAAATATATTTTATTTTAATCTATTTTAAGATTATAATATTTAAAACAGCTTTGAATGACAATATTGTATAGTTGAACCTGATTTTAAAGAAAACTTTGATCTATCTGCAGGCAATTTTTTTCTTTTATCAAAAAAAGTGTTGTAAATCCAATGCTTGTCTTTAAATCTGGTTCAACATTCAAATAATATCATCCTAGAGATTGGGCGCTTAAGACAAAATGAATATCGCAAGAATCCAAAATTTAATAATAAATACAGCAACTCAGGTTTTATAAAACGAAATAATGCATACGTATCATTGGAAAAGTTCCGCTTGTAATAAATTGTAAGTATATTATCATTGGGTAAATTTCGCTATAAATGATATGAAATCGCCAAATTTAAAGAAGCCATTGCTTACAAATTTAATATAAGAGAATACATTTTTTCAGAGATAGTATTCTTGGATGATATCTATTCCCTAATATTTCAGGTTTAAATAGAATCTACATTACCTGGGTTTAGGTATAGACGAAGTTAAAAAAATACTTACATATTCTTTAATATATTAACCTTTATTAAAAAATTTAAATAAAGTTTATATTAAAATATATAAATTTTTAATATACAAAAATAGGCCCTTCGGACCTTTTTTGTTAGCACCGGACGCTTGCCGATCACTAGTTGGATTTTAGTTAAACGTTTTTTCAGTTGTTGATAGTGTTTTTTTAATATTTGGGATACCTATATTTTCAAATGAATAATAAACGAGATTTTGTTGTACGTTAGGAGATTTACTATTATTTGTAACAAGTGACCCTAATAGATGACCTATATTTTCAATATTACGCAAAAGAATGGTAGCAGAACTTTTTCTTTCATAATAAGGTAAATCGGTCCATGTACTCAGGTAAGCGGATGACAGAATAACATTGCTAGAGTTTAGTAAATCCTTATGTGATGCGAGATAATTATTATATATAATGTAATTTTTATACCTTAGCAATAGTTTTGCTATCATTTCTGTATTGAAAAAGAATATTGGCTTCAACATATTGATATTTTTGCATTTGATCGTTTGACAAATGACCAATTAGTTTAATTAATCTTTTAAGATCTCCACCTAAAATTTCAATTTTGTTGTGCGATAACACTGATATTTTAGAGGCTAGATCAGTTGATAATGTTTTCCTTGATAGATACTAATATGAATTTGAAAAGAAAGGTAATATAAGACCTTTAGTTGTTATCAAAGTATATAACAGTTTTATTAAATATATTTCATAGTTTTAATAATCTATTATAGAATTTAGATTTTAAAGAAGAAAACGGAAAATGACATAAATAATCCAATGCGAGGTCGGAACGGTATGTTTCGAAATATAAGGCAAATATTAAGTGTAGAATGCACACTATATTGCTATTTTATTTATATTTAATTTATTAATAAAGTTTTTAAGGGAAAATTTATAGAGGTAATTTTTTTTAGCAAGTCGGATTGGTTTTTTTTGTTATAATAAATATTTTAACAACAATAGGGTTTTGGTACCACATATTAAATATTAGGGATAAGATGATAATCGATAAAGGGCCCATACGTCAATCCCTTTAATATTTTCCTGTTTTCATCCGAAATATGAAATATAATTATCTTAATGAATTATATACATATTATATTTGCTTCGATCAACATTTCCATAAACTTTTCAATATCTCTAAACAAGCTTAACTAAGGTCTGAATAACTTTCAACTGGATTTAAGGCAACCGCTATATCTAGAAAAGAGTTTTTGTAAAAGATTAATAATTATAACAAATGATAATTACCTTTTTTAAAAAATATTTAACGAATTTTCTAACTTAATTAAATTTGTATATGGAAATTGAGAATATTGTAGAATAGTTGATGTGCTTTATGTATTTTGAAATAATGTATATAAAATGAGGCATTTTAATAAAATTTGCAAATTAAGCTAAAATATTAATTATGTTCTTAGATGCTAAATAAACTTAGGGGGTGCTCAAAATAATTTTAGTCTGACGCCAATGTAACTATTGATAAACAAGCCTATATTTCCTTAGATGATTTGGTCAAACAAGCCCTTAATCAGAAGTAGAGACCTTTATGGGCCGGGCTTGGGCCTAATTATAAATTTTCTAGCGTGCCTAGGCCGGGCTTGGGTTCATTTGAAATTTTTGCTATAGGGCTTGGGTCTAAATTTTTAAATTCAAATTTAGCTTATTTTAAGGATATTTAATAGGACAAATATAACATATCATTCTGATTTTATTAGTGTTAATTATCAAAGTATATATTTTTTAAATCGGAAATTGGTATAATTTTACTTAATTTAACACAACGGCCTGGGCACGAAACAGCGAAAATCAGGGAATATTTCCAAAAATGTTCCCAAAGATGGCCAACATTTTCGATATGACATATATTTTCCCAAGTTAGCGTCAAATTCAAAGCAAAATCCCAACAGTAGCAGAAAATTTAAAAACAATTGTTAGACGTAGACAAATAGACATTCAAGTAAACTTTTTATAATATTTGAAAATAAAATTTTAATTAGAAAACTCAAAAAGGACATAATTTCATAAACTATAAAGGTTATGAATATATACACCATAAAAAATCATAAGTATGAAACATGATATATCTTGCAAATCAAATCATGGTACATAAATATCATAATCAACTTATTGCAAAAAGATTTTCTTTTAGAGTTTTATACTTATTGTAATAAATGTAATTTAGGTGCAAGTTTAATTGAAAATTGCAAATAATGTATAATATTCCTTTAAACAATTAATCAAATAAATCTATCCATACAATTACAATGTAAATATTCCATTCACTTTTAATTTATATATTCTTTATAAATCTTTTTAGCTATATAATATTTTTAGCTTCATCCTCATTATTGGATATGTCTTCATGGGAGGATGATACAATACTTCATAATGAGACGGATGCTGATGAGATTAATTTATATATGGATATTCAGCTAAATGAAGAGGATATCAACTATGATGACTGCATCCTAGATTGGTGGAACGGAATTTCAGTACTATTGGAAGGGTTATTGAAGAAAGAAAAACAAATTTAAATAACGAAATTATAGATAATATATTATTTTTAAATGACAATTTGAAAATATAATTTAAAATTTTGTTTATATCATTTATTAATATTATATATAATATATATATTATTACTAAATAAAATATTATATTTCTATTAGTATTACTTCAGCATAAGTTAAGTATACATAAAATAATTTTATGGGCTTGGGCCGGGCTTGGGAAATTTTTTAAATATTATAGCGGGCTTGGGAATTTTTTTAAATATTAAAAACGGGCCGGGCCTGGGCTAAAAAAAAATTTTTACGATGGGCCTGGTCCGGGCTTGGTCCTAAAATCTAGGCCCATGAAGGTCTCTAAGTCAAAATCTACCCATTCCTTTTCCTATAGAAGGCATTATTATTAGTGGTAACTGATATAATTTATGATAATCAATTTTATAGCTTTATTATTAGAATCCCTTTTAAATGACTTTTACAATATAATTTAATAATTACATAGGCATTTATAAAATCAAGATAAATGGGCAACCACTGGATTCCAATAGTTTATATGCCTTATGGATTTATTCAGATTTCAAAAAAGAAGAAATTTCCGCAGTCAGGATATTTTATAGAATTGTATCTCCATCTTTTATAAAAAATATTTTTAAGGGGAACATTTAAAGGTGTATGGATGCCTCTATAATCTGAATCAAAACACTCATAAAAGGATTTAAGAGATTTCACTAGAAAAAGCTTGCCAGCAAGAAAAACGCCCGAATCATATTTCTAGATGATAAAGGACCACCTTTTTTTTAACCTATAAATGTCAAAAAAGAATGGATCATTTTTTAAATCGTTCCAGACAATGTTTAAGTTATTACAATATTTTGATATCAATTACTTCTGCATAAACCTATTATTTTAGGTTATACCTTACAAATTAAAAAAAAAATTTATGTTTGATTGACTTATTTTTCGAAATTCAGATCTAATTCAATTAATTAATAAAAAATTATAAATAAGTTCTATCCAATTTTCACATAAAAATAATAGGAGAAAATACAAAGTTTTTATGATTTATTTTTATAATATACAAATAAAATTCTAAAAGCATCAGCAAAATTGGTAAGGTAGAGTTGTTAAAGCCAGATTGGGGTCGATTTTTTAGCCAAAATATTATTGCCTCAAGATTTGGCAGAGATATATCCTTTCTGTCATCTATGAGCAGGAAAGATCTCCAAGATTATACAATATTATTTTCTAAAATCATTGGGCTTTTTAACAACCCTAAAGATGATAGTTTTTATTTTTTGTTATTTTTTACATAATCATTTATTTAATTAAAAATACTGATTTTGACGGAAATGTTTTGCAATTACCTACCCTATCAATTTTAGACAACTTTGTAATAAACTTCTCAAGAAAATTTAATTTATATTAAAAATACTATAAATTATAAAATATGATAAAAAATGGTGAATCTGAGTTATACAATAATAAATTATATTCATAATAGTAAAAATAAAATCGGAGATTTCTTTGTCGACAATTGTCAGTGATGGATTATGTTAGCAAATTATATAATATTAAATATAAATAAAAATGATATACTTCATTTTCCAAATCGAGGCTCCATTGAGAGCTGCATTCACTTAAATCAGGATTTTCTGGAAACCAATTTCCTTTACTTCCACAAAACCAATGTGCAAAACCTTATTACGAGTTATAAATAAAAAAAAATTTATGAATTGACCATAAAAAGAGTTGAATGCTAATGCCCTAATGGAAGTTTTAGGGGTCTAACATGCTTTAAAAAAATTTAGGTCTACAGCATTGTAAAACATATTTCCAAGAAGCTCGATCTAACAAGGCTTTATATATATTAATAATTTTCCCTGTACGTTATGTTTCCACAAAAGCCAGTCTGGATCCTGTATAAAACTAAAAAAAAATGTCGTTCAAAACATACAAACTAAGATGTAAAAATAAAGTAAGCCAGTTTGTACCAGAAAACTCTTGTTATGAACCTAACATCAAATTGATGAATAAGACTCTTAGGCTGCGTCCAAGGTGTTCATATATTTAAAGAATTCTGAATATGAATAACATGCTGAATAACTTTTATTTTCAGAATAAAAAAGTGTTTTAGAATTAATGTTAAATAATCGATTTAATTTAGCATTGATAATATATTACATATCGTAGTCTGCAGCGATATTGAAATATTATATTTGACCCACATGCCATTTACGAGTTTTTGTTTTAAAATAATTTGTGCCTTTTTGATCAGTTACGAGGTTTCGATTGATAAATTTTTAATAAAAGTATTTTTATCCAGTATTATTTCACTAAAATTGTTGATAAATCAAATTTGTATAATATTAAATTTTATTTTGTAATAAATTTACAATATTTTTTCTATACAAATTTTGTATAATATTATAAATAAGATTATCATAAAAGGTCCAGAATAGGCAGGTAATACCTTTTTCAACTCTTATAGGTGTTGATATTTTTGTTATGTGATGAATACACATTTTTTCCTAATTTGCCTATTTTACGCTTTTAGGTAGTGAGTGCCATTCGTGAGAATACATTAATTTGAAATGTATTACCCCTTAAGGCAAATATCTTTCACATCTTATGTCTTATACGCAATAATTTAAAGTATTTTTTAAATTTGAATAAGCCAGAAAAATATTCCAATATGTGTAGATCCTATGAATGATAAATAGTAACATATTACCCTAGTTAATATGTGTATTGACTAATTACCTTATCTGTAACATATTATGCAGTATTTTTTTGAAGATTAGGTTTATATCTACTTATGTTATGATTTTATAATTAGGGTTTTTATTAATATATTACATATTATGCAGTATAAAAATAATTTAAGTGTAGAATGTGACTAATGTTAATTTAATACCAATGATATAATAATAAAATATTAGTATATTAAATTCTATAACGCATTTCCTTATAATAAAACATGAGATGATCTTTCGTTAAATATAAGGACCCATTTTTCAAACATTTATAAGACCTGTTGCGATTAATATATTGGGATTGAGGATATTAAATGTTCACCATATTATTTTATTAATAAAATTGTAGTTTACTTTAAATTAAAACATTAATAATAAGATAAGGTTTTAATATTTTATTTAATAAGGACAGGCGCGCAGTCAGAATTTTATTTTGGAAAAGGACAATTTTTTAAATATAAAAAAAATTCTAAAATTTATCTTGAAGTTATCATTGAACATCTACAACTTTGTAAATTTATTAAGACTAATGAGTGTAAAAAAATTGATAATTTCCAATACCTAAATAAGTGGTAGTTATAAAATATAAATTTACTCAGAAAAATAATGTTATATATTAAATGTGGCATATAACCCCTAGATCTCACCTTTTTGGAATCGGCTGATAATAGTTATAACCTAACTATATGAATCACTATTAAATAAATATGTGCTGAAGATGGTTTTCGACTAAAAGTGATTTTATCGTTTTTGGATTAGGCTAAAATTAGAGCTATTAGAAATCACTATTAAAATAAGAAATTTTTTTTTACATAAATATAAACTTTTTAACATTTAAAAAGTGTATATAAATTTATAAAAAATATTGATTAAAAAATGGCCCAATTTCTAATATATAAAAATATTTAAAAAATTATTGATACCAATTAAGGAAGACCGTTGTATTAGATCCCTTGGGATTTGGGTAAAATTTTGAACTAAATTACATTAACTAAGGCATGGTTCAAATTTTAGCATTCCCTCTAATATTTTTGAAGATATCAAGAATAAATTTAGTAAAAATGACCTTACACTTATTGGTTGTCATTCAATAGCTAAAAAGTACTTAATTAAGCATTCATTCTAATACCAGAGTTACGCTCCTATTTAATCATTCAAAATTAAAACTGAAAAAGTTTAAGGAAAAAACCCTTGAGCCATGTCCTAGGTTGTCCTAATACTAAATAGCCAAAAAAGCAAGAGAATTTTTTTTTTTAAAAACGAGAATAAAATACGAAAAATAACAATGCCAATAAATACTTAAAACAATCCAAAATAGGGTGTCCTCGTTCAAATACTTTTTAGCCTATATTAAAAAACAATTAAGTATCCAAATTAAGCCGACCTAAACACAGCCTTAAAATGCTCAAATAAAAACAAATTGCCCAGAAAAAATATAATAATTGCTCAAATGAAAAACTGAATGGTCAGATTAAAAAAATGAATCGCTAAAAACTAGTCCCTTAATTATTAGGGAATATTTTATTAGTCCATTCCGACTCTAATTAAGCAAGCATTACATGTTACACATAGACCTATTTTCAAATTTAAATAAAATATGGCTTAGATGGAATTGGAAATATAACTCCTCTGAATTTTTTTTGAAATATAATAATTTTTTCCAATAATCTTCGATTCAGTTTTATTTAAATTTATCAAAAAATGTGCTAACTTCTATATTTCGCCAATTTTATATATTAATTTATAAATTCAAAAAGAATTTGTTTATTTTTACTGAATATTGTTATATTAGAAAATTCAATATTTCAAGATATATTATAACCTCGCCCCGTACTCAAAAACTTCTACTATGGGGGTGGGGGAGTATAATGCAAAATCGTAATTGGAATAAAGTTAGATATGACGCTATCGTTATTCAATACTATTAAAGAAAAGAGGGGGGGGGGGGGGGGTAAGAGAGTAGTTTTAATTTGGAGTTCCATTTTTTGTCAAATATGGAAATATGATAGAATGAGAGAAGGCGTGAAAAAATTATTGTCAAATATAGTATCAGTTTGTACCACCGCGGATTGTTGCAAGGTATTATTTTTATTATATTAATATGAACATATATTTCTTAATTTTTTTAAATATTCATTTTATTGTACATTTTTGTATATTCAATTCAACATTTACTTATTCATTTTCGTATATTTTACCACTGCCCTTTTAATTTTATTTCATCTGGTTAAACTGTTATTTATACTTTATTATTCACTATAATTTTTCTATTTTATATAACTTATATTTTATAGGGTAAATTATTTTAAAAAAAACAAACAAATAAAATAAAATAACAATATGTTTTTTTATTTTTGCACAACCCTCAAAAAATAAATGACAATCAAATATATAATATATAACAAAACAGATTTAAAAAATACATACGGTAATTTTTTTGCATTTACAATTTTTATATAATTTAATTTTTTTTATAAAATACATACGGTAATTTTTTTGCATTTACAATTTTTATATAACTTAATTTTTCAAATGTTTAATATACGACAAATTTTATCTAGTAATACAAATTCATTTACATTAAATCCTGATCCTGTTTTATCTAATTCAAATTCAATACCTAATATTACAAATAATTTCCATATGATCAATTCTTCCTCTGTAAGTGGTGATTCTATTACTGATCCAACATCGGCTATTCCAAGAAGAAAATATACTAACTGGAATAAGGAAAAAATTGATATAGTAAAATGCATCAATTTTTGGAGATTGGTTATCGAGGACAACCAATGAATTAAGGTAAATTTATAAAAATATAATTTATATTGAAATATATTTTAAAGGAATTTAGAAAAAGGAGAATATATATAAGAAAAAACGAAAATTAAAATATCCAACTTTTAATGTATTTTTTAAATCTGTTTTGTTATATATTATATATTTGATTGTCATTTATTTTTTGAGGGTTGTGCAAAAATAAAAAAACATATTGTTATTTTATTTTAATTGTTTGTTTTTTTTTAATAATTTACCCTATAATCCATTTAGCTATTCAAATTGATTTTTATCATTTCAAGATAATAATTTTGCATAAAAGAACCGATTTTTTTATAAAAAAAACACAAATAAAATTACATTTTATTTTAATAAAAAATAAATATCCTTGCCGAAAAGCCTGCATTGTAAATATAACTTTTCAATTGTTTATTAATAGATATTATTGGTATATAATGCGATTTAAATTAAGCAAAATAATATTACGCAACAATATTAGTAGATTTCCAAGATTTCTGTCATCTATGTGAAAAATTCTAGATATACCTAATATCTAAAATATTGGGCCAGCCGTTTTTAAAAATCAAGCCGTTGATACTAGCATAACAGTTGATTGAATTTGGATTGATAAAGTTACCTTAGAAAAAAAATTGGCAGTTTTGGCTAATTGAAGAATAATCGGAAAACACACATTTACATTGGCTATAGTAATGAGATATATTTCAAAATTACTGTATCCAAAACAAAATTCTGAAATATGTCGCTAATAATGCCTAAAACTTTATATTGTGCAATATTTTATTTAATAGTTATCTCTATATATTATATATAAAAGTTAAGCTCTTTGGAATTGATCTAACCGCTGCCAGTTCTGATTTGATCCCTCCTAGTAAAAAAGGATGACATGAATATGGAATATGCCGTTGATGATTATCTACCAGCACATCAACGTTGTACATGCCATACATTCAATCTGTTCCATCTAAAGATTCGAATTAGAGGTCTGCAATTGGCGGGTTTTAATATGAACGTCCATCCGCCCATTATTTTAAAAATTTTGTTTTAACCATCCCGCCTGCCCCATGTTTACAAATTATTCTAATGGTTGGTTTAGCTCTTAATTTATTATATTAATGTATTTTTATTTAAACATAAATTAATAAATAAAAATTTCATAAAGTCAGTCAATGCCCGCCCATGGCGGGCTAAAAACTCTCTCATTGCAGACCTCTAATCAAAATCATCAAAATAAGCATTTTAATTAAGTTGCAATTTATTTAAACATAATGTTTACATTATACGATGGCCATGACATTGATTTAATTATAATTTATTATTTTAAAAAAGATTTTTCATTATGATAGATTTGATCTCAAAATATTAATCAGAGACCTGCAGATCCGGGTAAACGCGCCGTGCCTTATTAATTTTTTTAAATACCCGGGCTGAACCTATATAATTTTTTTTTAAAAAATTCGGGCCGTGCCGCATAATTAAAAACCAAATATTTTAATAAATATTTATATGTCAAATAATATTAATACTATCCCTAAAAAACATTTATTTGAATTAAATATTGGTCAGTTACGTGAGCCGTATATAACCGGTTAAATATACAACTCTAGGAAATATTGTCTTTTGCAGAAAGACAATATATCTCGAAAAAAGAAAATTTTTTTTATTTAAACCATAAGCATTGAATGGACATTTTTGTTGTATACTCATTCCCACTTCCGTTTGTGGCCATAAAATATCTCTAACATATTTTGAAGCACAGTTCACACTATGATGACTAGATTTGGATGACTTATTTTGTTTGAGCGTTGTGTTTTGAATATATGTGGTTTGTGAAAAACTTATATCAGATATCGCCATTGATTTATTTTGTAATAAGATAGGTTGCAGCTTATATAAATCCTGTTAAAATAAATTTATTCATATTTATGATTATTTATAGACAAACTTTATATGATTTGGTAGAAAACAATGTTATAGTTCGATTTTCATATAAATTAGTTATGTGAGTATTCATGTTGCTAATGTTGGCTATTTTATAATCTAAGCTATTGGTAAACATATTTATATTAATATTCCCGCTTTCTTCATACTCGTCTTCTATATTTGAACTTATCATTGTAGTTCTTTCTGCATTCAAATAAAATAAATTACATATATTTATTAATTATTACTTATATCACAGTAATATTGAATTTCAAGATATTTTGGAGTACCAATACAAGGATCTCCAAAATTTTGAATTGAGGCTTCTAGCATACATTCGTGTCGATTATCGCATCTATATTGTATTGATTAAAAAATAAAATATACTTAAATTATCTATAGATTAATTGTGCATTTAAGCTTGTTAAAAATAATATAGAATTCAAATAAATAATTTTTAATTATGTAGATTCATATAACATTACAAATTCAATTATTTATCTCTTTTAAAACAAATAATGTAAATATTCCATAAAAAATATTTGTCTGTAACTTATCTAATATAATTATAACATATATTTTAATATATTTTGTCACACTATGACAAAAATGTTAGTAAGTAGGGTTCGATTTTAATTAAAATATTTTAATAAAAAAAGTATGGATTTAGATTGAAAAATATGATATATTATAATTATTTTACCTTAGCATAATTTTACCTAGAAAATAAAGGGTTAAGCTTCAGGAAACCAGGTTAGGAAATTTTGAAAAAATATATATTGATAAGGTATTGTCTAATTTGATATTTTCTTAAATAAAAAGCCGATTATCCATAAAAATTCGATGATATATGTATCTCTGTATACACATATCTGTCTTTTTATTCGATATCTGTATATAAGTCGTAAACAATAATTTCTTTTCTAAAACGAATACTATTGCGAAATTCCCTGATTTAAATAAAACTACTAAACCAAATAAAAAATTCTTTTTTTTACTAAAATGATGGTGATTTTACAGCTATTTCCAGCTGGGTGATGTTCCAATTTAAAGTTCCTAACTAAGGGAGACTATTGTTTGGTGTATCCCAACTTTTAGAACCCTCCGTCTTTCTATTAGAAAGTTAGTTTTTAAAAATATATGTTTATCCAATAAAAAGAGGAAGTTTTTTTCGATGCTTTTAAACATAATTAGAAAAAGAAAATATGAAAAGTGAAAATATGGCACGTAATACAAAATAAGGAAGGTTATTAGATTAGATTGAATTATAAATAAAATACGGCTTCAAACTAATTAACAAAATAGAGATATTTTTACAATGGGAAGGAAAAAAAATATAACATCCATAGACTTAGCCAGGATTTTGCTAGGGAGGGGAAGGGGTAACACTATTAGATTAGTTTTTTCCCCGTAAATTTTATTGGAGCATCATAAATATTAATTCTATTTTAATTAAAATAATCAACCATTGCTTACATTAAAAATGTACAAATATGATATGTCATTGTAAAATATTTCTATTGTTATTTTAACAATGATTTATTCAAAAATTGCAGAGGGAAGCCAATATGTAATATAAATGAAATGGCTGCATGTTTGATTAAAATTTGCTCCAGTAATTATTTTACTCCAGTATTATAAAATTTGATTTGAATCAAATAATTCAATTTTTTTTATAAAAAAATAATTTTTGCCAAACCATAATTGATAAAATTTAATTCTTTAAGGTTTGTTGAATTGTCATTTCTGATATATTCGCTAATTTTGCGTTGTCCCAGAAAATTCCATATAATTTTAAATCATACAAAGTTCTCCAAAGTAGACCTGTGCGCCAAGGCCTCATTGACGGCAGTGGTCTTTTTAAAATTTTTATCGGTGGCGCTATTTATTTAAAAAAAATTTAATTAATTCAATGTATTACATTTTTTATAATTTATTTGGGCGTTTAATTCTAAAACATTGTTAATATAGTTTAATTCATTTGTTAAATTATTTCCTGTCTCACTCCTATTTAAATTTATGAATTTTATCATTCTCAAAAAAATGGTAAGGAATTGCATTTTTACTCAAATCAGAGTCATCTTTATAAAATTCTATTGATTTTTATTAAAATAAAATTTTGGAATGCAAACAAAATAAAAGGTAAGAAATAAAATAAATTATAAATCAGATTTAGTAAAATTATAATTCATGAAAAAATAATATTTTATCACATTCGTGGACATAAAGAAGTCCTTTTTGCATTGAGTATTAATCCAATGGTAGAAAAAATTCTCTCGGAGGGTGATCTGGTTGCAGGTATACAAAGAATCTTCCTAGCTAAATTAGCAAGCCTGTGCAGTACAGTCGCTTTTTTTCAAAAGGTTAATGCATTCTCTTCTGGTATACTTTGGCTGAGCAAAAGATGACATTCTTGTTCTAAATCGCCAATGTTGTTACAATTGTTGCTTAGAGATTGTCTAAGAGGAATCCCGGAAAAAAAACTCAGGAATAAAAACCCCACAGAAAAAAACCCTGAATTTTTTTTTTCATATTTATAGAATTTACTTAAAACCTAATAATATAGGTATATTTGGATATACTAATATTTATAATGTATAAACAAATTAGTATTTTAGAAAAAAATATTATAAAAATATAAATATAAATAGGCTAAATTTTGTTAGGCCCTAATTCATTATTTAAAGATTACTCATATATCCTCCATAAAAAATTCTTAAAAGATAAAATGCTGAAGTTCAAATTGATACTGGGAAAAAATACGCCAGTAAAATAACCCATGTATTTCTTATTTTCGTAAAAATTATTTGCTATAGTAATAAATATATCCATCCTTAATTACGATATTAAGTAGACTAAATTTGACAAAATTTTGTAATAAAATATATTTATTTTATTGGTAAATCATAATTATATATATATACATATTTAACAATTTAGAATAATAATTATATGGATTGACATCGAATATTGAAGGAAATCACTCTTATAAAATCTGGAAGGTTTCGCATCCAATCACGGTATTATTCGCAAAGTTTCTTTAACCGAATCTGGGTATTATAACTCTGCGATTTTGTTTTCGGTGTCCAACTATCTACACGCCATCGTTCAAGTTTGGTTTCATCGGTAGCCACCTAGCATTTCATTTTTTTAAATCAATACCCAGATTGATGGGAGTTTATTCCCAACCAGATTAGAAAAACGAAGATTCCAACCTTCACATTGATTATTTGTGCGTTCTTCGTCGGATCCCTTGATACTCCATTGATATAATTTTTAATTATTTATCAATATAATATATTGCCATGGGCACTCGCTTATATATTTATTTATCAATATAAATTATTACTAGGTTATACTAAAATATAAGAGCGTATAAAAACAATCCTCCACTTTAAAGAATATTCAAATTTGTAATAAAAAAAAAATTCCTTATAGAAATTAGCAAAAAAGTAAAAATCAAAACAACATTTACCTTGCTTTACCCAACCCCCATACATTAATATGATAAAGCATTCCTAATAATTCCCAATCACTTTTCGATTTGAAGAAGATCTCATAGAAGAAATCCTAGTGAGATTCAAAAAGTGTTATTTATTGATAAAAAAAAATACTATTTAAATTTGAAATTTTTAATATTTTATTTCCGGGGTTTTTTTTCCTATTATCGTTTAGGAGCTATTTTAGATATATGAACTGGATGTTTGCCCATTATCTTCACCTTGATCTCACTCTGTGCATTTTTATCATGCTAATAATTTTAATTGTCTAATTAACAATTGAAATAATGTTGTAGAATAATTTAAATATTCTGAAATAATTTAGGGTTTTGAAATTTCGGATCAAGTAGTCTCGCTAATATTTAATGTTTAAAGTATAATTTTATGAATAAAAATGTAATATAAAATAAATTACTTGAAGTTCAGTAATTAGAAACCCAAGCTTTTTTTCCTTATTTCCTTTTGCAATCAGATTTATTGTTTTGTATATGTGTTTCTATTTTACTACAAAATAATAACTCTAAAATTATTCTTGATCCCTTTGGGAGGAAAGAAATTCCAACGTCTCTCTGAATGATTTAATAATGTGCAAAGTTTGTCAATTATATCCCATTAAAAGTTTTAACGATTGTTTTCCAATTATTTATAACATTATTTATAAGAATCTTGTTAACACTACGGATACTTTCTCAATAATTAATGCGTGCCAACAGGTATGGCAATTTTTTAATATTTTTCATATTAATAATATCTGTTGGTGCAATGCAATTTACATAATCAGCCTCACCAGAGATATCAAAAATCAAGTATAAATATAATTAAATAAATTTATACACGCCGCGCTGCCACAAATAAATCGGCGGTGAGCCTGGCGCACCGTTCATCTGAATCGTCGGCTTTTCCAGCATGAATAAAATTGTCACGGGTCTATTCCAAAGTAAAGTCATGGAAAAATGGCAGTTAAGACTAAGGCCCTGCGAATTCAATATAGGCCTATACCAAGCCTGTAATTTTAATAATTAGTAAGCCCGAGCTCAATCCAATGTCATTCGGCCAAAATACAATGTGGATTTTTATTTTAAGCCCGAGTCTAGGTATGAACAATATAAAAGATTTCAATATATTAACTGAACGAGTATATGATATGGCCACCTCTCGAATACTTGTTAAGTCTGAGTCATTTTTAAAATCAAGTAGTATTATAAATATATAGCTTATAAATTTTAAAACTTAATAAATATTCACAAGACGTATAAAATATTAAAATAATCAAATTTTAAATAATTAAAATTAATAAATTAAAATTATAATAACAATTATAAATTATAAATTATTCTTAATAAAAAGCAGAGATCCAAACCGAACCTGAACCGAGCCTTTAAACAGTTATTTTTTATCGAAGCGAAAATTCTTGACCGGTTTGAGCCTCGTGCTTATAAAAGAATGTGAAAGTTATTACTAGTATATTGCCAAAATATTAATTTATATCCGAATTGTTTTACAGATTACTAATTTTGATTGATAAGTGGCAGTCACATTTTTTAAACTTTTATATATAACAACATTTTTTAGCATATAATGTAATGCCTAGAGATAAATTGAAAAATTATTTATATATGGTATTATAAATGACAAATCAAAATGTAATATTTTTGTATACAAAGGTTTTACCCCGTTTTTAGAAGTTTGAACTGAACATGAACCGATCTTCGTTTCGGTTCGAATTCCTGATAAAAAGATTGAGTGTATTGGATAACCCTGTGATCCTACTTTGTTTTCAAATAACTTTCTTTTTAGGGGGTGAATAAGAGAAATTTTAATTATCTTTTTATTTTTATCAAGCGAACACATTTTTTTTCTATTCAATTTTTTAAGCCAGAGCCCAAGCCCATAATAATAAATTCAACCCAATTTTTGATATATTTTTAGGCAGAACTCTATTCACAATTAGGGTTTGAAAGTTATCATGAGGCTAAAAAAATAGATATAAAAGATGAGATTGAGGGTTAAAGTTGGGAGCTCAAAGCAAAATTTTTCACAAACCCAGGTGTAGGGTTCAACAACCTGGTTTCAATCAATAAATCAAAATTAAATCTTAAAAATAAACCTTTTCTTGACAAAATCAGTAGAATTGGAAGCACTGCATTGTAAATCCATTTGGTCAATTGCTAATATATTGTTTTCTTCCTCTAGATCAGATCCACATGGTGTTAGGCTAAAACGACCAAACACTGCATTTACAATGTGTATAACGTGGTCGGAATGACAGTTCGCCAAAAATATTTGGTTTTCACATGCAACTCCTACTATCACTAATTTAATAAAGTTATAATTTATTTATTTTGAGTCAGGTAATATTATTTTTTGTAAATTTTAATATCGAAATTTGAATATGCTGAAAAAAAATTATTTACCACTTTTATTAGTCGAAATTGCTACGATGTTTAATGAATACATCATTAAGGAAAACAGCAAAAAGCTTATTCTATAATTTAGTGGCATTAACATACAATTTCATTGGTCTTTTTCTAGCTATTGAAATATAAATATAATTTTTGTTTTAAATAATGAATGATAAGAAATCTAATATTTATTTAAAAATATCAAAACAATATCATGAATACTAAAAAGTATAGGTCTATACCAAAAAATAGTAATGTAGTATATTTATATTTTATCGGTCTATTATATAATTTTTTTACACTAAAAACGAATTCAGCAAAGATATATATATTTATTTATTTTCAAGAGTCAGGCTGATTAATAGCAGAGACATTTCTATAAATCTATGCAAGTGTAATCCCAATCAACTTGAAGACCAGATGACCAAAGTATTCGGCTCATCGATTCCTGTTCCTTAAGCAAAAATGATATCTCGAGAGTATTTGAGATACTAGTCCTTTTTAAGGTTTTTGAAATCATTATTTATATTTGTGTGTCTGGGGGAAGCGGCCTTTGAAATCTGAAGGTAATTAAGGAGCAATTAATACATCTTGAAGGAAGCGATTTATTATCCAAGATGAAGCGATAGAGCGATGATTAGTTCCTCATTAGTAAGAAAACCGATATTTGTACTTGAAATTGCGGACAAGCATTCGCAGCCCGATTTAGAATAAAAAACCCAGATGATGTATACCATAAATTAAATTTATATGTATACTAAATTAAGAGTAAAAGAAATTGGAAAAAAACTCCTATCCATTTAGAAATTGGTACATTAATTTTTTTAAAATTTTATAGCTTAATGTACGCAAAAAAAATTTTACTTTATGAAAATTAATTATCATTTTGGGGTATCGGCCACTAGTATTGATTAAAATTAAAAGTATCGATAAATACCAATACTGTGAGTATATTAGCTCGATACTAATACTAAGTATCGGTATCGGTGTATCTCTTAAGTGACATAGGAAAAATATATTTCTTAATTCAGATTGATATTTAATTTTTATATATGTTATTGACAATATGCGTAATCAGGCAATATGTATTAAAATTGTCGTAGACAGGCATTTTACACATGTTGGAATATATTTCCAGCGAAATTATACTTTGCAAATTTAAAAAAATAGTTAAATAAATAAAGTAATTATAAAGTGCAGTGGTGTGTGATGAAGGCTTGTAAACCGAAGGTCCCAGGTTCAATGCTGGGAAGGAGCTAAATTTTCGGGTTTTTCTTCAATGGTGTATGGCTTTAGACATATGATATGATGAATTTCTGAGCTGAGAAATGCCACCCCGGTCACCGACAGGCTTGGACAGCCGGGTGCTAGGATACTTGTCCAATAAACCAAAAAAAAGAAGGCCAGCTGAACTCGTAGGTCAGATGATAACGATTTCTTGGCCAGCGCTAGGATGATGGGATGATGGTGACCTCGGGGGCCGTTCAAGCTCAATGTCTGTCTACCAAGTTAAAATAGACTTGATAAAGATACTCCGGTGGGATATCCATCGATATTGATACCAATGGGAGAGATCAGGATTGGGATATCTGTCGATTTGATAATTCAGTGTGAGGAATACTCAGGTGGGATATCTGGTCGATATTGATTTGATGCCCCGGTGGGGGAGATCAAGATACTTTGGCCTCGTGATACACCGGTGAACAAATATTAAGAGATCAGGATTGGGATATCTGTCGATTTGATAACTCCGTGTTGGGAATACTCAGGTAGGATATCTGGTCGATACTGATTTCATACACCGGTGGGAGTTCAAGATACTTTGGCCTCAAAAATGATACACCGGTGATCGATACAAATGAAATCGATCAGAAATACAAAGACAAAAATAGATAGCAAGATTAATATTATAATAGATAAGTGAAGGAGCTTACCACCAGAAAAGGTGAAAGCTAAAAAGAAAAAAAAATGACAAAATAATGCTGAGCTCATTTTTAAATCTTAAGATCTGTTTGTGACAGTATAAGTAAAATACCTAACCTATCATTAGGGTCATATAGTTTTGAATTATTCTTAATTTATATACTCAAATAACTCAAATTGCTTGAAATATTACTCAGGCAATATAAAACCTCATTATAGTTAACTCCCAAGGGACATTAATTTTAGTTAACTATATAAAATGTTATCTACATCCAGCATAGAGATCTGCAATGGGTGGGTATTTAGTTTGTCCATTTTACAGGCTGGCAGGATAAAAATTTTACATTCTGTAGGTAAGTGTGGGTTGGTTAAAAATACTTTTAAATCAAGGAGCCAGTGAATTTGAAATGTTTTGGGGCAAAATTGGCAGAACAGACTTATATTTATTAAATATTACCTTTTTATTTCATAATTTTGCATATTTTATAAGTCTAACTAATAATAAAGAACCAAACAAACCAATAAAATAATTTTTAAACATTAGGCGAAAAGTGGGTTAAGCAAATTTTGAGATAAATGGGTGGGTGGATAAGTTTTTAAAAAACCATAGGCGGGCAGACCTTAGTGTAAAACCTTGCCATTGCTGACCTCTAAACAACCTGTGAGTCTCCGTGTAAAATCAGACTTTTTTGTCATTCTATGCTGCCTATTTATAAATGGTTAGCAAAAGGGTGGAGCAAAATAATTATACTCTTATTATTAATATAATAATTTTAATTAAACATTACATTCATTAATATATAATCAGTATATAGTTACAGCAAATAACAAGCTTTAGCTTGTTCATAAACTTAGCTATATCATGATATTTAAAAAATTTCCATGGGTATAATTTCTCGCACTTTTTGATTATACCAATGCCCAGGGAGAAGCTTTATTAGATTATGTAAACATTTTCTCAGTTTGTTTTAACGTCTTTACTCAACATTCCTTTTGAATTTGAATGACCTAAAGAAGCTTGTACATAAAGATTTGCAATCAGTGTCTCCTATTGAAACAACATTAATTTTCCCTTTTCCAGCTATTTCGCAATTTAATTTTATTTCTTAAGCCATTGTTTAAGATAATCCATTTCTTCATTTTTATTTTTCTCTTGATAAACAACAAAAAAAGTAGCTACAAAGCAAAGTTTAAGAATAAATAAATATGATTTTCAAGTTTCTTCAATATTGACTTATGGCAAATACTTATGAAAAAGTCTCTGGATATTGTACTAGTCAAGAGCAATTCTTCATTTTTTCACAATGGTTGTTAAGACAGCATCCATAAAGGAATGTGGAATAAAGATGACAAAAAATAAGCCAAGAGCGTTCATCTCCTTGGAAAAATAAAAAATATATTATTCAAAATATTAGATTGAAATTCAAAAAAATATATCAAATTTTTAATGCCAAGGCTGGCCTATTAAAATTTGAGATTTATTAGGCCTTGCTTGATTTTTTATGAATAAAAAATTACCTGACTTTTGGGTGAACTAAGCTGGGCTTTGCAGATTTCTAATCTTCAAATATATGACAAAAACACTATTTCTGCATTAATATATTTTTTTATTTTAAACAATATACATACTTTTTCATTAATCTATTTAAAACAAGTATATTTTATTTTAAAAAATAATAATTAGCTAAAATATCTACAATTATATTAATTACTCATATTTTTAGACATTTTTATTTGTTTAAGAGGTAAAATTCTATTAGATTAATATATTTGATGAATCTTATATATTCTTAAACATTGTTTTCAGCCCAAAACCAATAAAATCATATATAAGCTAAATAATTTTTTAATGGTAGTAATTATATATTAAAATTACCTGTAAAATAATCTATTATAAATTTTTATTTATTTTATTTAAAAAATTATTTCTTTTTAGAATTTATTAAAAAATGGGCCAATGATGAAATGTTTAGTTATGATAGATTTAAAGGATTCAAACATATATATCCAATTATCTCTTAGAACTCTCATATTCTAAGAGTGGATTAAATATATACACTGCAAACATAAATCTTGATATTATTGTAATTATCAGTCTAAAAAATTAGTGGTATAATTAGCATTAAACATCTTTAAGGTGTGGTAGAGCTTAATATAAGACAAAATATCCTAAAAGGTCAGGTATGGCTTACAAACTAAACAATACCAAAATGTGGTAAGTTATAAATGTATACAGAATATTATAGCATTCCAGCTTCAGTTTATAAATATAAAGCATGATAAATTTTATATAGCACAAATTTATTATATTTACTATTAATTTTAAAAAAAATCTAAAAATAAAATATTGCAGCAGATAAGCAGAAACCTTACATATAAAATTAATTAGTTTGATTGGCCTCTAACATAATAAAATGCTATAATATTATTTGGTAATTTACCTGTAATATGAATAAAACTCTACCATAAAAAAAAGATATCGTAAATTAGTCATCTGTCAGTCAGTAAAAAAATAATATGTAGGCATTTATTACATGACAGCAACTTATGATTCATCACATCTTAGACAAGATTTTATCCTTCAAAATATAAATTTTATTAGTAAATTATGATGTAAAATAATCTCATGATTTTATCCTCTCGTTCAATTAATTGATATTTTAATATATTAAAAAATTGTGTCAGTAATTCAGGGCCTTTTTCAGCTAGGAGGGTCATGCTTACGAGTAGGTCATTATTTAAAATAAAACAAATAATTAAGCATTCATATAAATTTTTTGCTATTTTATTAAAAATTTATTAATGTAATATGAATGCAACATAATACTAAAATATGAATATACAATATAATACGACGATTTTTATTTTTAAATTTTAACATAAATATATTAAAGGATAAATTTTGTGTTATTTTATTTTCATAAGCCATCAATACTAAATTTTGCTTATGTTTATCTTGCATCGACTCTCTAATGCTCGATAGAACCCTCTTTATTGTAGAGAAAGTGTCCACACAAGAAGCCGTTGGCACCCTAATGATGATATGTAGCATTTATACAATTCCTTAAATGCATAACAATATTTTTTTTATACATAATATTTAGAATATTTTCAAAATAGTGCTTCTTTAACTTCTGCAGCTAATAATATTTTAGCTATTTTCATTTCATGATCAGGGTTGCCATGTCTCCCCCAATCAGCGGGAGACTCCCGCAATTTTTTAGTTTACACGCAGATATCTCACTCCAACAAAACTACCGCAATTGGAAAATCTCCCGCAAAAATCTAAAGCAATTTTTTAATTTCTATCGCATTTTTTTTTTTAGTATTTTAACGTTTTTAATATATAAATAATATTTTTGAGAGACATTAATTGATTATTTTTATATTTTAAAAATAAATTTTAAATATTTATTCGAAAAACATGTCTAGTTTGTAAATTTCTTTCTATCCTGTTTTATTTTTATCCAATAATAAATCAACATCATTTCATTCATATAAGACAGTACAGGGGAGTATATCAACATCGATTGCACTACAAAACAAAAATAATAAATAATACAGATGCAACTACATTTGCGCAAATCGTATACATCTATCATGTAGTTCAACATTCACAGAGCTATATCATCACAATGTGGATCGAATCTTTTTCTCATTATATTTTACGACTCCAATATAAGTGCAAACCTTACTTGTGGCAGAACAAAAATGAGCAAGGCTATCACGTTTTAGTACATGTATCCTAGAGGTCAATTCTAGACGATTTGAAAGATTGGCATCCATGTGCAATTCTAACAGATGCATCTAATAAGGGAAATATTAAAACATTTCCCTCGATCCTACGCTATTTCAACAAGAATAAGAACATTTCAATAAAACTGTTAAAATTTTTTCCTCGGATAGTGAAAAATCCAACAATGTAGCTAGCCACATAATGGTACATATAGCTGATTCAGGTTTATCAATGATTTGCATGTCAGCTTTCTGCGCTGATAATGCCTCTGTATTGGCAAAAACCAAAGTTACCGAATTGAGGCAGCACAATAATGAATTAATATCAATTGGCTGTATATGTCATATACTACATAATTATTGCAAGAAGGCAATGAATGTACTATCTGAGGATGTCGAAATGATTGTGATGAAATGTTTTAACAAATTTAGTTCATCAACTAAAAGAGTTAATGAATTAAAAGAGTTGGTGAAGTGGTCTGACTTGAAATGGTGTAAGTTATTGCAATATATACCTATCAGGTGGTTGTCATTAATACCTGCCATCGATAGAATTTTAAAATTTTACAAACCCTTAAAAAAATACTTCTTAAATAAAGATTTTAAAAGCTCTCCTAAAATTTTGAAAAAATTTTGAGTATGAAATGGCAGAAATATATTTAGGATTCGTTTCACATGTAGGAAATCTACTTCATGCAGTTAATATTCAGTTGCAATCAGAATATTCCTTATTAAAAAATATTCACAAAATCATGCTACAGCTCTGTTCATCCCTACATTTAAAAATTGATGATAAATTTTATGGCGCTATATTAAAATGTTCAAATAATATTCTAATTAATACTCTAATTAATACATTTTTAAATGAAGCACATATTTTTATTAACACAATTTTAGAATATTTACAATCAAAATTTGATTTTAATAACTCTATTTACAAATGTATAAATATTATGACCTTAGAACAGAAACCATCAATTGATGGTTTTTATAATTTAATAAATAAAATATATTAAAAATACCGAAAGACATTGATGTCGTGTTTGAGGAGATTGTAATTCTCTCTATTTTTATGATTCGCCAAAATACTTAAAGTTAGATGGTCTAAAAGCAGAGGAGAAATGGGTAGAATTTTTTCGTGATAACGATAAATCCCCATGCTGGGAAAAATATGCGAGTATGTCTTCTCCTTACTTAATTCTAATGCCTCATCCGAGCGCATTTTTAGCCTGATAGGACTGTCTGGAAAAAGGAGAAAAATCGGATTGCTTTAACAACATTAGAGGCCGAGCTAATGGTTAAACAAATATATAATATGTCATGCCAGGAATTTTATAAATATCTCAATAACGACGGTAAATATTTAGTTCTATTGTTTAAATCTCAAATAAAATATAATTAAGTTTTAGCAATGGCGCCATAAAATTTATTGTCAATTTTTTACTGTAAAGATGAACACATCTGCAGCATAATTTTGTGAATCTTTGTTAAGATTCTTCTGATTGCAATTACACATTAACAGCATGTAGTAGATTTCCTACATGCGAAATCATTCCTAAATATACCTCTGCCATTCATTATTGAAAAAAATTTCCCAAATGTTAGGACAGATTTTATAATCTTTATTTAAGAAATATTTTTTTAAGGGTTTATAAAATTTTTAAATTCTATCGATGGCGGGTATTAGGAACATATCGCGACCAAAATTGTGCTGACTCAATTCTGTAAATACACTCTGCTTTTAAATGAGGCATTATCAGATCAGAAAGCTGACATGCAATTTATTGATAATCTCGAATCTGCTATATTTACCATTATATGGTTAGCTATGTCTTTGGATTTTTCACTATTTGAGGGGGAAAAATTTAATTGTTTTATTGAAACGACCTTAATTTTGTTGAAATAGCGGGGAATATTTCCCTTATTAGATGCATCTGTTAGAATACCATATCTATGCCATCTTTCAAATCGTCAATTGACCTCCTGGATTTAGGTCCTAAAACATTAATGATAGCCTTGCTCATTTTTTTCATTTATATTAGAGTCGTTAGATATTATGGAAAAAAAGATTCTACCAACATTGTGGTGATAAGTATCTCTGTGAATATTTTACTACAAGATAAGTGATTACAATTGCCGCAACTGTAGTTGCATCTGTATTATTTCTTATTTTTGGAGTACCTTATTACCTATTTAAACGTGATACGTGATAATTAAACTCCTATCCTTATAATGTTATACACACATACGTTAGATTTCCAATTGCGGTCATTTTGCGGGACATTCGCATAAAATATATTTTTAATTGTAAAATTTAAATCGTTTTTTTTATAAAATTTTATCTTGTTACATTCTTTTATATTTAAAAAAGATCTTTGGTTTTTTTTATAAATTAATATATTTTAATAAATCAAGATGTTATTTTATTTATAAAAATAGTTACCGACTTTGTATTTATATAAACTAATTTTAAAAGATAATAGGCGGATAATTAAGTCAATTCAAAATCCCGGCGGAAGACAGTCCCGCAAAAAAAATTTTTTTAGCAATTTTTATATTTCTACCGCAATTTTCATATTTCTCCCTCATAATACCAAATTTCTCCCGCAATTTGAAAATTTTGGCCTGGAAACCCTGTTCATGATGTAACGTTTCCATATTTAAGTTTAAAGGAATCTAATCGGGTCATTTTATTCGATATAAAATAATCAAGGTTAAAGGGGGATAATGTATTAAAACATGAGAAGATTAGTCGTCTAGTGTAAATCTATCTAAAAAACGATCAACACAAAGTAATCAATAATTTCATAATAATTCATTTTTAAAGAACTCCAATTGGAGTCTTTTTCACAATCAAATTGTAATTTGGTCTCGACTAAAAAATCTTGGAAATTTATAGGCGTTTTACGCACCCTTGATGATTTGTGGGTAGTGATATTAAATTTTGCTAAATTTTTTTCAGCCTTAATTCTAATCTAATCAAAACAATTATCGCTTCTTTATTTTTTAATATATTGATAGTGGAATCAATACAATTTTTAGCATCCACTAGATTAGTACCTTCTGACTATAGATACTTATTTAGTGGATCTATTGATATTATATCTCATAAATTATAATGGCTAATATAACGTAATTTATATTAACGCATTGAGATAAAAGACAAGAGGTCGACTGAATCATGAGTGTAAACCTCTGACTTAAGAGTTCTATTAGAAAAGTAAAATAATACTTCACCAATAGCCTCAAAATTCTCATAAATATTGCGAGATGCTTTTAAATGACCAGTCCATCTCTGGTCTAAAAGTTTCTTAAGAGTATGGCCTATATATTTACAGGATATGTTAAAACGCCTAAATATTAATACAGTGCATTAGATAAAAAATTAGAAATTATAACAATAATATACCAATTTTGAACTAAAAGATGCAACTTGTGGTTGTAGCATAAGGAACTTTTTTATTAAATTTTTTATGAAGGATTTGCACTCCTTCATTTTGATCAGACATGACGTTTGCACCATCATATACCTGGCTTATTATATTCATTGAATTAACATTTAACTCATTAAGTTGCTTTAAAATGCAATCAGTAATGTTTTAATAGAAAGACACTTTAATTTAATAATTCCTATTGAATTTTCTTAAATTTCTCCAGAAAAAATATATCAATTATGCTCAGGTTTTCACAATCTGATGCATTTTTTGCCTAATTATCCTTAAAAGAAAAAAAGGCACTCACTTTTGTTATATTTATCTGAG